AAAAAAAAAAAAAAAAATAGTTTTCATACAAAAAAATATTAAATGCACCATGGGATATATCATATATGAGAATAAAAAAATATAATACTATACAACAAAATTCCGGGACAGATCAAATTATCTCTTCTTACAAAGGATGTTAGCAAAGTAGAAAACATCCCTTTTCTTTTTTTTAAAAAAAAGGTTGAAGAACTAACATGTTTTTCAGCCAGAAAAACCACCGATGTATGTAGCATGCCATCAGGTCTGTGATCACTGTACACAAACTGGTAAACCGAGTTTCAAAAGTTCAACCGACTAATCAATGCAATTCACTTTCTTGATATATCTGATCGACAAAAATCTCGTATATCTTATCGACAAGATTAAGATCTCTTCCATATACTGAAAATTCCATTTGCAAAAGACTTCAGATTTTGCCACACAGAGGTTTTATGTTCCACATCCACACTCGGCACTTCAGGCAACTCCCTGCGTTGAGGAAAAGAAGGATGAACTTCTCGACACCAATTATGATACAACTAAAGAGGGAGATTTAAATTTTACAAAAATGATTTAAATAACCTCTCAGATACAATTTTGGACTCCGTTGACCCAGTCTTGGACGGCGAGTTAAAAAATTGCTGCTCATCTTCATGTGCACTCGGGTCAGTTTCAGAATCAAGGTGCAGCCTGCTTGTTGGTTTGTTCGTTGGGTTGGGAGATTCAATTCCATCATCTTTCAATTCATCATTCTTGCGAGAAATAGAATATAATGACAAAACAGTTCCACTTATATACCAATACCAAAAGGCTTATATAGTGAATGAACAGTAATGTGCATCACATTATAGCATAATCAGGAATAATTATATTACCTGGAATGAAAAAAAAAAAACACAGTAACAGTAATAATAGTTACAATAATAACTTGTGTCATTGGTACTCACCTCAACTAAGATTGAGGGCTGTGGCAGCTGATCTGGTTTAGAAATTTCTCTAGTGTTAGTGGATATCTCATCCTTCTCAATGGCTATTTTCTCTCGTGGATCTTCTTTTTTATCAACGGGTGGCACTTTGGATTCATGTACCAGCTCTTGCAAGATCCCCCTAACAACATAAAAAGAGCCACCAACATCTTTCTTGGCTTCCATAGCAGTTGGGAACTTCCCTGCATTCATTTCCCTGTACCTGTTTGCCAGTGCCCACAAAATTTCTCCATATTTTGATAAGTAATTTACAACATGAATGAATACAGGCCTATACTGAAATCTATTTGAGTACAACAACCAATCATTTATCTTTATATTTGAGTTCTATCATATCAATAACATTTATTAGATCAAATCAAAAATGAAAGAAAATTTATCAAATAAATTACTCAGTAGTTCATCGCACTTCGAAGAAGACTTGAATTTCAATATACCAAATGAATCAATGGAAAATATATAGAATATTTACTTTTTAACAAAGTTTTCCACCATAAATTTGCGTTCATCCTTTGGAATCCTTCGCTGAGGATTTTTGGATTCCACTCTCTCAGATGAAGCAGAAGTGGCATATGATCTAGCAAACCACTGTATACTTGATCGACGCTCAAGATTTGATGTCTCAGTTGACACTGCAATGAATTATGAACCTCATTATATGTCAGTTATCTGAGATGTGGAGGCCTAAACAGTAAATACCTTCTGACTATGGAACTATATGAACTTTACCAATTATGAAATTAAGTTGATAACAATCAATAGAAAAACGATACCTAACTTTATATGTGAATAAAATTATAACGCCTACAATAAGACTGTTAAGAAAATGAAGCTACAAGAAAAAAAGGAGATACGTTTGGGATACCAAATCAATTGCATCAATTACATAAAAGCCAGCTTAGATTTCTTTTTACTTTACAAGTTCTTAAATTATTTAATCATATTGTGAGGAGAGACAATAAAGGAAACTGACATAGTAATTATAATGGGATGTAGAAGATCACCCGAAGTCTTGAACACTTGACTCTGTTGAAACTGACGAGACAATGCGATATTAGCAGGCTGAGCATATGTTCGAATGAGTCTCATCTTACCTAAAATGGTTACATATAAATTAATAAAATGAATAAAGGAAACAACTAAGCACCTGACTCTGTTGAAACTGACGAGACAATTCAATATTATCATGTTGAGCACAAGTTCGAATGAATCTCATCTTACCTAAAATGGTTACACATAAATTCAATAATTAAATAAACAAAAATATCATACGTAATTTTAGATGAGAACAAGATAGTTACCAACACAGATACACACACACACACACACACACACAAAAACTACCCTCAATTCACCAAAACCAGAAGTTAATAAAGATAATGAAATGCCACGACAAGATAATCCAATAGTCCGCAAATCTTTAACTCAGAATAGTTCAACAAACTTACATTAAATCAAGCATTAGTCAATTCACATAGCTTGATATCATATTGCTGTTGTGACAGGCTCCTTGAGCCTACTAGTTTAAGTTAGCCTCCGCACCGGGAGAAAAATAAACAAAAGATCCATTAGGAGAAGTTTCCGGGTAGCTAAAGCTAAATCAGGATGATATACATATTACTCAAACTCAGAAGATATCAACATGGTTTAGGAAGGGCAATAGCAGCAAACCCATTAATTTTACAATTATATAATATTATGAAAATTCAAAGCCTGAAAAGGGTGGCTTAACAGGAGAAAATGCCATTGTTAAAACCCCAAGAGGAAATCAGCCAGCTTATAAAGCTAATAAAAATTAACACAAAGGCAAGGATCACTAACAGCAGACAAACTTCCATAACATTCTTCCGAACAAATGAGAGCTTGACAATCGGAGATTAATTTAATTGAAACACATATGCGTCGCGGATCACCAAATGAAGATAAAAAAAGATGTCCACTGATAATATTTCAGCTCATGTTCACGGAAAAACAGGCTTGAATATGGAAAATAAAGCAGTAACCTAAATGGGAACAAATGAAGAAATATATTCACCCATGGAAGGCTATCACATTCATTCTCACCGTTGCTGATGTAGCTGACGCGGCCACCGTCGCCGGCTGTCCAAGCGCCGACGGATTTTAGGGTTTTAATTTAGGAATTGCTTTGGGTTTTTGCGAACAACATAGGACAAAAATGGGCGGGCTTTATAGACTTGTAAGCAATTTTTAGATATGGATGGACTGTTGGGTTTAATTTTTTATTTTTTGAAAATTAAAACTTAGCTGCAAATGATTTTATGATTTTTCCAGTAAAACTGCGTCAAAATATGGTGGGACGATTGAAATTATATATGTGGATATATGTTACGAATTTTAGGTTTACTAAAGTCGTTTCAGCATGTAAATAACTTTAGAAAAATTATAAACTTGTTCAATATAACTAGCAACAGTTTGAAAAGATAATCAGTTGGCTTAATTTTCATGAAGCAAATTTAATATAGTGTGATTTACTTGTTGTATATAGAAGATTGACTCCACTATAGAGTCAACTGTTTGGTTCATAACAAAATTGTATATCTAATGTCCTAAATTTAGTGAATTGTTATTTACATACCTACCACGTACCGTCCATCTTTGAACCAAATTATCTATGTTGGGAATGTTCGACAGCTATGGCGGCGTGGAGTGAGAGGTCGACTTTGTTCGTGGTTGATCGCAGATGGAATTGGACTGCTGCGGCATCTTCCCTGGCTGCCCTCCGATTGGGAGCTGACAGGCTTGGCGGTTCTGTGCACCTCGTTTCGTGGAGGCCGAAGTCGTGTCGGGGGTGGTTGTGGGGCGAGCCTGAGCGTGCTCTTCCGGTCAGGATTCGTAGGGGAGTGAGGCTTGGCTAGGAGGTTAGGTGGGTGTAATTAACCAACTCTTTTTTTTTTTTTGATAAGGAAGATTCGAAGTTTGTTTCTCGGGTTGTTGTCTTGCTTGTCTTGGTTCTATGAGTTCCACTTGTGAGAATCTTTTGTAGTTTTTGTTTTTGTGTTTTCTTTTGTGTTTGTGTTGTGGTTTCCAAGCTACCTTTAGGTAGACCTTATCACTAGATTGGTTAGCCACTTGTAAGTATGTATTTTTCTTAATGATTCTATCTTTCCGAACAAAAAAAATAAGGTATATTTTTTGTGTTAATTTATATTAAAAAATACAGCAATTCATTTTTTTTCATTATCTATATATAGAAACCACATTTGATAAATTTTAAAATACAATTACGATTTCTATCTTTTCACACTTTTTTTGAAATCATTCTTTATTAGATTTTTTAATTAGTTTGTCACAACTAAAACAATAACAAAAATCAACTGAAGATAATACTTAATAAATAAATAAAAATAAAATAAATATTTTAAATTGAATTGGAGATAAAAATAAGTTAGAATTGTAAGGTTTGATTATAAGATAAGAGAATAATGATTTTAATTATTAAGGTTGGACAAAGAGAGTCATAAAAGAAAGAACCCAGAAAAGTTTATGTACCACAGATGTACAAAAATTCTTAATCATATTTAGAGAAATCAAAATTCATGGTAGAAACTTACAACTTTATGTCATACAATGAAATGATACAAAATACAACAATCAATCAATAAGCCTTCCTTAAAAGTATCATATACTACTAATTTAACCCACCAAATTCAACTAAAATTATAACCTTCGGAATACAATAAGCAATAGACACACAGAAAATTCCATGGCAAAATTGTTCACCTTCAGTCTCTACGCCTACTCGGCGAAAAATGCCTCATAATGAAGCTCTCCGCATACAGAGGATAATTTTTTCTAATCAGGCCTTTTATGCATTTCCAATACGAAAAATCGACCAATTCTCCATCGTTACGAACTATGAATAAGCATCTTGAGCTCTGAAAATTAGGATGGTATCCAATCTGTTGATCGTAAAAAATACAAAAGAAAAAAAAAATGAAATTACTAAATACAAACAGGAAAATTTGAGCTCCATGAAGGGCAATGTCATGTAAATAAATTGGAATATAAAATTCCACGATTCAAGAAAAATTGAAAATACAACACTATATATAACTTGTCCGCTTTAAAATGCCAAGGAATTCATTGTTTCAACTTCTATCCACAAGTGCCTTTTTACGAGAATACTTTTGAGTTGTGTGGCTTTAAAGCAGCCTAAGGATCAATAATCACACTTTTAAACAAAAATGTACACATGCAGTAGGCGTATAAATGAACCGAGTCGAGCTTGAGATTAGGGTGCTTGAGCCCTTAACGAGCCGAACCGAGTTCGACTCGTTAAATAAACGAGCTCGAGCTCGGCTCATTAAGGCCTCAAGCTCGAGCCAATTTAACGAGACGAACTATAAAAAATTATACAAAATTCTCTTTTCGAGCCTTATCGAGCCGAGCTGTTAACCAAACGAGCCTTAAATGAGCTCGAACTCAAGCCTTAACAAGCTGAGCTCGAGTCGAGCTGAGTCAGACTCGTCTAATTTAACAACACTAACATGCACTATAAAAGGCCATTCCTTTGCCTACTAAGTTTTTTAAAGTATGTTGTGAAAATATGCATGTATGTAGAAAAAGTATGTCCGTCTAACAATTAGATCCGCCTACGATAGCCTTAATGCTCCAATCATTTAGACAATAAAATAGATCCTCATACAAATTGATTTTAGTAAAACAGAAACAATGCGCTCGTGCAGATATGCAAAATTTATCAACGAGTATATATGTATTCGGGAAACTAAAATGAAATAGCCATATATTGCATTGGCAGAAAAAAGGAGCTTTCTGAGCCTCGAAAACCGTCATAAATGCTTCATGAAAGCATTCGAGCTTAAGCAACAAGCAAAAGGGGATCTAAAAGAATAAATAGTTGCAATAACAGAATGGAAAATAAAAATAAGTAGCCAGCATCTATTGCATCGCAGGATCTCTCCATTTCCAAAATATTCTGCTTTTTTGTTTGTCTACAATTCTACATGGCGAGGATAAGAAACCAAGTTTTTAATTTTATTTTTTTTTCATAAAGTGACTTCCTCAATGTCTGCTATTGCTTTCACGTCATGAAAATGGAAACAAAGTAATCATAAAGGACATAATATTGAACAGAAAGAAAGCAAACTATCTGTCTCAATCAGCATTACCAAATGTAAAACAGGATGGGTTATGTTGTTATGAAGCATGCCTGAATCTAATAGCTAGATTATGCTATCTGTTCGTGTAAATGTGGATGTAGTATGTCTATTATCCTGTATCAAGTTAGACACAACTAGTGTCATCAAACTGAAAAAAAAAAGGAAAATAAGAAAGGCAAGAGAAATATATTTTAGAATTTAATGAAAAACTTGCGAGCAAAGTAGTTCAGCCAAGAACAGAACGTATTTTATATAGTTAGTTATCTTCTCGATAACAAAAGCTGGGAAAGCAACGAAGCAAATTACAAACTATAGAACTGCCATACCGTAATATAATCAACTCCACATCCAATCTTCTTTTCACACGCTGGATGATATGCAAGTAGCTTCTCTAGAATGGTTTTCTCATCCTGAGGATTCAATCTATCACCACTTCCGTATCTGCAGAAGAAAGTACATAAAATAGGATTACGCATTAGTGTCTTTTCACATAAGAGAATCTGCATTCCTCAATATAACCATTCTACGCCCAGATCGTGACTCAGTCTAACCTTGGTTTCTGAAAGAAATGATATTTGCATTAGAAGCTAAAAATAGCTGAAAACTAAAAGATTGTGGTGTTTGCAATGAAGCTTACTGATGATTTATTAAAGCATTCATGTCGTTAGGTAAGTCCTAAAAGTGATCATGTACTTGTAAAATACATGGCCAGATGCAAAAATACGAAATATAAAGCACCCATCCTCCTATCTATAGGCTATGGGTAAGTAAGCGGACTCTCGTCAGTAATTCCAAACACTCTCGAATCAATCCACTGAAGCTAAACGATAACGTTATACTTTACATAACCATCAAAATTCACACACATTCAACTTCCCACGTTTCCTTGAATATATATTTACAGTTATACACATATATATTATTTAGTTCTCGGTCATCCTTCTCAAAGTTAATCTCAGCAAACAATTTAATATTTGACAAATAATCCCGTTTCATTAAAATTTTGCCTATATATCGCCTTATAAATGCAAACCAACTCACTAGTTTACCAAAATAAACGCAAATTTGAAGAAGGAAACGAGATTAAGGAACTCACTTCCCAGAATGAAGAACCGTCCTAACAAAGGCAACAAGGGGCACAGTGTCCTGCAAAATCTGGTCGTCCCAGTCCACCCACGTGTCACCATCTCCATCCTTCTTCTCCCCAGCCTCATCAGCCGGATCATCATCGCCGCCGGGATCCGAGAACGCTGGCCATCTCAACAAATCCGCTCCCCCATTCGAAGTCGGGCCAGCGCCGTCCGAATGTGTCTTTATCGCACTCGTTCGGGCTCGGCACCAAGGGAAATCCACTTCAAATGGGCGTAAAACTAGGTTTTTGGATATGGGTTTCCGGCAGAATGAAAGGATATTTGGTGAGCTTAGAGCGGAAACCGAAGCCATTTTTATATACTTAGCATCACCAGCGGTAATTGAATATCTTCTTCGCAGCTGAAGATTGAAGATAAACTAGTAAGATACTTTTTGGTTGTTGGAGTATTTGGATAACGCTAATTGTGCGGGCAGCGGGTCAGAAGTTCAAACCCACTACCCATATTTGCTGTTGTGACAGGCTCCTTGAGCCTACTAGTTTAAGTTAGCCTCCGCACCGGGAGAAAAATAAACAAAGGTCCATTAAGAGAAGTTTCCGGGTAGCTAAAGCTAAACCAGGATGATATACATATTACTCAAACTCAGAAGATATCAACATGGTTTAGGAAGGGCAATAGCAGCAACCCCATTAATTTTATAATTATATAAAATTCTCAAAATTCAAAACCTGAAAAGGGTGACTTAACAGGAGAAACTGCCATTGTTAAAACCCCAAGAGAGAATCAGCCAGCTTATAAAGATAATAAAAATTAACACAAAGGCAAGGATCACTAACAGCAGACAAACTTCCATAACATTCTTCCGAACAAATGAGAGCTTGAAAATCGGAGATTAATTAAATTGAAACACATATGCGTCACAGATCACCAAATCAAGATGAAAAAAGATGTCCACTGATAATATTTCAGCTCATGTTCCCGGAAAAACATGCTTGACTATGGAAAATAAAGCAGTAACCTAAATGGGAACAAATGAAGAAATATATTCACCAATCGAAGGCTATCACATTCATTCTCACCGTTGCTGACGCGGCCACCGTCGCCGGCCGTCCAAGCGCCGACGGATTTTAGGGTTTTAATTTAGGAATTGCTTTGGGTTTTTGCGAACAACATAGGACAAAAATGGGCGGGCTTTATAGACTTCTAAGCAATTTTTAGATATGGATAGACTATTGGGTTTTTTTTTTGTTGTTGAAAATTAAAACTTAGCTGCAAATGATTTTATGATTTTTCCAGTAAATACTACGTCAAAATATGGTGGGACGATTGAAATTATATATTTGGATATATGTTACGAATTTCAGGTTTACTAGTCGTTTTAGCATGTATAATCTTAGAAAAATTATAAAATCGTTCAATATAACTAGCAACAATTTGAAAAGATAATCGGTTGGCTTAATTTTCATGAAGCAAATTTAATATGGTGTGATTTACTTGTTGTATATAGAAGATTGACTCCACTACAGAGTCAACTGTTTGGTTCATAACAAAATTGTATATCCAATGTCTTGAATTTAGTGAATTGTTATTTACCTACCTACCGCGTACCGCCCATCTTTGAACCAAATTGGGAGTGTTCGACAGCTATGGCGGTGTGGAGTGAGAGGTCGACTTTGTTCGTGGCTGATCGCAGATGGAATTGGACTGCTGCGGCATCTTCCCTGGCTGCCCTCTGGTTGGGAGCTGGCATGGCTTGGCGGTTCTGTGCACCTTGTTTCGTGGAGGCCGAAGTCGTGTCGGGGGTGGTTGTGGGGCGAGCCTGAGCGTGCTCTTCCGGTCAGGATTCGTAGGGGAGTGAGGCTTGGCTAGGAGGTTAGGTGGGTGTAATTAGCCAACTCCGTTTTTGGATAAGGAAGGTTAGAAGTTTGTTTCTCGGGTTGTTGTCTTGCTTGTCTTGGTTCTATGAGGAGTTCCACTTGTGAGAATCTTTTGTAGTTTTTTGTTTTTGTATTTTCTTTTGTGTTTGTGTTGTGGTTTCCAAGCTACCTTTGGGTAGACCTTATCACTAGATTGGTTAGGGCGTGATTGTTTACATATTCTACAGTAAAAATCTCAATCAAAACTCAAATTTAACTCAACTTTAACTCAACTCTACTATCTCCATTATTATCAATATAATTAAATAATATCAACCAATCATTATTACACATCACATCGAATTTAATTCACTATTCATTCACTCATATAATTTGGGTGTTGATTTTTGCCGCCCCCCTTTTCGATTATTACCGTCCCCCTAAAAGTCGTTTTTGCCCTTTCTAATAAAAAAAAAATACATTCATTATTCACTTTACATAT